AATCACCCCCAGCCATTACTGCTATAGGCCCCAAACTCCATGGCCTATATTTATTAAAACCCCAAAGGGGATAATTGGGTTTCCTTCTCTCAGGGGCTAACCCTTGTCCCGGGTTAATTTATTGGCATCGGAATTTTTGGCTTTAACAATAAAAAGTCTTCATTATCCAATCACCCCACACTTACGCAATAGGCACCAATCCAGGCCATCTTTATTTATTGATCCCCAAAAGGAAAATTAGTGTTCCTTCTCTCAGGGGCATAAGTATGCTCCCTGGATTAATTTATTGGGATAGGGAAATTTGAGACTTTAACCCAATAACAAGTCTCTCAGTATCCAAAGTCATCCGCACATTTTTCTTATTTCTTTACCCCCTTCTCCTCATTGCCCCCCTTTTCGTTGACGTCACACCCGGAAATTGCCCACAAAAAATTTATTCCCCAATTATTGTCAGTGGACCCCCCTGTGCATTTAAGGTGTGATTTATGTCCCCTGAAGTAAAAACAATTTATTTTTAATGCTTTTAAATTTATATCATTATAAGCAGTCAAAATTTTGGTGTTGTCAGTTGCAAGCGGGGCCTTTAACTGTCCTACGCCACCTATAATTAGTGGTAATTTGGACGGTCAAGTTCCACGGAATCGCACCCAGAAATGTCCAGTTTTCACATTTAAACCTTCAGGTATTTTTCCTGAGTAAAGGAATCATTTTTGGGCTTTCCCCATTTCATTATCCCTATGCTGTCCCGCCCCACAAATTAGATGGTTCACTCATTCTCGATAGAAGAATTTTTTGGGGTTTACCCTTTTATGAGTAAAAACACCGTACCCTTTATACTTCCTCTGTCTTATTTTCTAGGCGGGGGTTGCCATATATTTTCATGGCCCCTACCGTGTTTGGGAGAGGGACACCCTATGGGGTTTTTGGGTTTTTTTGCCCTTTATCGAAATTTTTTTAAACCAACACCGGGGAAGGTCTCAGTAGGCCCTCATTATTTCATTAGCTGCAAACCCTTTTCATCAGTCACTGTAGTGCAGGGGTTATTAAATAAACTTTTGTCACCTTATTTTAAAATCAATACAACCCTGCACAAACTGTATGGTGCCTTCCCTTTTGCATTGATAGCAATGTTCAATTTGGCATGCAATCCTTTACTTATGATTGTCTAGGAATTTGATAAATCTGTAAGTTCTTTCTTCTTTCCACTTTTAAAATCCCAGAAATTTAAAGGGTTAATTTTTTGTGAAATGGTACCCTGGGAGAAGAGCAGTCCTCTTTTCCTTGCCTGACCTTTTTTTAACCGGGTTCATACGAGGGATTATTCCCCTTTTCCTTGATGTGAGGGGGAACCCCTATTACTGATTCCGACTTGATTGTGCCTATTTAACTCTTTAAATATGTTATTACCACTGGGGTTAATTTTCCCTTTTGAGGATTGAAATACTTTAGGTCATTTTTTGTTAAAATTCCCTTTGAACTGTTTGGCTGTGGCTGCAATTGAACAATTAATTTCCGCCCACCCATTGATTTCTCCCGACCGTATAGGGGGTTTTGGGAAACCCACCCTTTGCATTAAAGGTTTATCAACTGCCCGGCTTTCACCCTTTTAATTTTTCAAAGCCTTACTTTTACAAGACATTTTTTCTTCCAAATTTGTAAGTTGATTTTAAATTTAAAAAAATTATTTCCCTTCAATTTCAATTCTCCCCGCAAATTTTTTCCAGTCTTTAAAAAAATTTGTAAAAATCAAAAATTTTCTCTAAAACTTAAAAATTAACTTTAATTCATTAGGGTTCACGGTTTTTTGATTATAATCAAAAAGCCTTCGTCCATGGTTTTAAAAGCCCGTAATATGCTTTTTATTACTCTAAAATTCAGGATTGTCAGCCCCATTAACTCCATTAATCAGTCAGGTTAGAGGGTTATTTAATCATGATTATAAACTAAGTAGGCGCCCTTATAAAAGTAATTCTTGCACTTTACTTTGTATAAATCCTAGCCAAAATGTGTAGCAAATTAAATTGGGTAATTGTCACCTCCCCCTCGATTTTAAATTGTGCACCTACACCCATTCCCCTTTAAACAGTCACTATTATTAAGTAATTAATTCATTAATTTTTTACTGATGCCCCCGGGTTTTCGAAGGACCAACAGCAGATATGGAAAAATTTTTTGGGGGCTTTCCTGTAGAAACCCCAAATTTTATAATCCAGTAAACTCATTGGGGACAATCTATTGTTTACCCTAGTCCCCCGTGTAGACATGTGAGAAAAAATTAACCACCCTGGTCCCCCAAGTGGTCCCCCCGACCCCCAAACTTTTCCTATCATCCAGACCAGTATGGGGGGGTAGCCCCACAAATACGGTGTTAATTAATTGGGACGTATGATTATTTTTGTTTAGCTGAATGAAGGGGAGGGGGGTAGGTACACCCGGTACATCCCTCAAAGGGAAAAAATTTTCATAATCCCCCCACTTACCGAGTTCTCTGGTGATCACTTGAGGGAGTGGATCACTCATAAACCTATTAATTTAAATAACACCCGGCCAGCTAAGTTGTTAAACTAAAGGGTTTCTTAACTGTGGGTGATTGATACTCCCTTATTTTTCCATTCACCATCTCGTTTCGATGCCGCTACACCCACACGGTTCTCATTCCGGGGGCAGGTATCCGCGGTTTGTCCGGGGAGAAGTCTGATTCCATAAATCTCCCTTTTCCCCGGGACGGGTCCACGTTCACTCGGGCAAGGCCTCTATTTACTCCCGCTTTCTTTAACCAATGTTATTACATGATTACTTACCATTACAAGACGTTTACGTCTCACAATTATTTTAAATTAGAAAAAACTCCATTAAGATCTGAGACCCATGAGTGATGATTAAACCAAGGGGATTTTCCCCAGGACACAGTCCATTTTTGACGCGTCATCACCCGGTCTACTCTTATCACACTTTTACCACTTATTACCGTGGTCCCGTAAATCACGTTCCCTCACTTTTCCACCAGGAACAGTTACGCACTTCTTATTATGAAATGAGGCCTATATTAATCTCTTTGGCCACCGTGAATATCAAATTTCGTGGTTCCATCCCTTTTCCCCGCTTCTTCACCACATTCAAAAACAATCCGCGCCTCTCCCCCCCCCACATCCGCACATGCGCAAAGGGAAATCTTGGTTCTACTCTTATTTTCAAATACATTTTTGACCCATATAGACACATTAAACACCTATTAGGCACTATAGTTTCGGAAAATCAAAAAATTTTCCACACATGTACTTGTATACCTTGTACATGTACTTGTATACCTTGTACATGTACTTGTATACCTTGTACATGTACTTGTATACCTTGTACATGTACTTGTATACCTTGTACATGTTCTTGTACACCTTGTACATGTACTTGTATACCTTGTACATGTACTTGTATACCTTGTACATGTACTTGTATACCTTGTACATACACTTGTAGAAATGAAGATAGTATTATTGTTATTATTATTATTATTATAATTATTATAAAACACCGTGGGGAGACTGCTCCATAAATGTGTACATGATGCAAGTGTTCTGGGTTGGTGGTCGGATTTACACATATTTCATCCTTATACAATGAACGTTGATACATATTCATCTCTCATTATACATACGTTTATGAAGCATTATTCGCACAATACAAACACCTTATACTGTACACAAGTTTTCTTGATATTGGTGCAGTAGAATACATAATAGCTACACATCCATTCTGATGCAGCACATTCTTTGTACAACACATGACGCTACGAGTGAAGGCACCTGCATGGAATGTTTTTCTATAGTTGCCCCAGTAAAACCACTTTCTGTGGTGGTATTGTGCTAGAGAAAACGTGGCTCTTGCCGTCACTCCTACAAGTTGCGCCCCTCCAGGGAGGTTCCTGGATGCTGGTGAGGGGCTCTTGATCTAGGGAATTGGATCTGTGATTTGGTTCTCTGAATTGAGCCTGAATGCCTTCCATCCCCCTCACATGCGCTGTATAATCCTACGGGTTTAACGCTCCCCCGTGATTATAATAATAATCCTACAAGCCGCTCAGCTCACACCTCACAATTATGTTAGTTTGTTCTAGTGTAGATTCAAAATTTTTAAGGGAAGTGGATTGAAGTCACTTTTAGGGCCCTTTGGGATTAGGAGCTCTGAAGCTTAAGGTTGTTTAGTTTCATGGTAGATCTGCTCTGCTTATTCACAAATTAACTTACTAATATAATAATAATATTTTCTTTATTTCTACAAGTACATGTACAAGGTATACAAGTACATGTACAGATTATACAGGTACATGTACAAGGTATACAAGTACATGTACAGATTATACAAGTACATGTACAAGGTATACAGACCGTAGTTGACATCAGTGACATACTTCTATAAATAAAGCCGCTTGTTATGCTTAGAATTTCCCACAAATTAATAAGCCAGTCTCGTCTCAGGATGTAATTCACGAACGAGTGGTACAATAATATATATATATATATATATATTATATATATATATATATATATATATATATATATATATATATATATATATATATATATATATATATATATATATATATATATATATATATATATGTATATATATATATATATATATATATATATATATATATATATATATATATATATATATATATATATATATATATATATATATATGCTGCTCGTGGACTCGTACACAGAACAGGAATGAGAAAAAAATTAGCCTAGAAGCTCCAACTGTGAAAATTTATTCAGTCCTAAAGTTCCACCGGGCAGATACGTCGTACAAAGATCCCATCAGGTCGTGGATGGAACGGCAAGGTTGGGTGGCCCTTACACCCACCCAAAACACACACACACCCGGGTTGGTGAAGTTGGTTGGAAGGTACATCTTAATTGATAGATTTACCCTTCAAGGAAGAAGTAGGTAGTTTATACTGTTAATACACTTATATTAGGATTATTGAGGCAACTCTAGATAATAATAATGTAGACCTAAGACCTTAACATAGGCAGTAATAGGCCGACAATGTAGGCAAACACTAGGTTATATTAGCCAGGGAGAACTGGCAGCCCAAGTTTGAATGTTGGGGCACGGGTTTTGGGACCGCCGTGCTTTGCTTCTGAGATCAGACACCGTCTGAGCAACAAGTGCCGTGAACATTTGGGCGGTGCTCCACGTGTCTACACATACTAGGCCCTGGGGAAATTTAGTGGAGGCACCTAGATGTAACGTAGATGACCTCCTCCGTCAGGCCCATACAGTAAGACGAGACCTCCCTTTCTTGCTCAGTATTATGGCCAGTTTCTGGCCAGGTAATCATTGTAAATGGTAGAATCAGTGGTGGTGCATATTAACAAAAGAGATCAGAGAAGGAGAAGATCGATATTATATATATTATATATATATATATATATAATATATATATATATATATATATATATTTAATTTATATATATATAATATTATATATATTTTATATATATATATATATATATATATATATATATATATAAAATTATCATATAGGTTCATATATATATATATATATTATTATATATAAAATATATTATATATTATATAAACACTGATCTCTGGCTGAAGGAGACTCGAACCTACGAACCTTTGAACAAGGTACGCAGTGCTTTACCAATCTACCCACACTGGACAATACCTTGGAGTCCAGCTTGTGCTAGACTTTGATCCAAGGCAGCCAGCTTTCAGAGAGAAGGCTTACAGCTTTTCATCTCATCCCGTGCATGCATCAGCCTTACTAGAGATTTCAGAATATGCAAAACAACCACTGTGAAAGAATAATGAAATTCCAAGCGTTTTCATGACTACTCACACTTTCAAGGAACAACAAAAGTAATGCATCAAAGGAAGGCATATAAAGGGTCTAGACCACACCTCACCATCACATCCCACAACAAAGCAACACCTGACATGTGACTCATAAGAAAGAGAACACTGCAGTAGGCCCACTGGCTCAACTAGACAGGTCCTTCACATAACCCTCAAACAAACTATTCTACCCAAGAATTAAGATTTATTATTTGTCCAAAGTATTATTAAATTCTTCCCAAATTCTATTAATTATAAATGGATCTAATTTATATAAACCAAAGGAAATATTAATATTATTGTCAAAACTGCTTTTTATGAAACAAGATTCAATTATATTCCTGTCGACCATGGACTTGCTTGATACTACTTTCTCAACTTTTTGAAAATCAATTGGATGGTTAAAATCTCTTACATGAATATATAGAGCATTGGAATCTTGTCCAGTTCTAATGCTATATTTATGTTGTTTTAATCTTAGTTCGAGATTTTTACCAGTTTGACCGTAATAAACTTTATCGCAAATTTTACAAGGAATCTTATAGACACATCCATCAGCATTTTGGGGGGAATTCTTTATCAAAAGTTTTTTTTACTGTATCAAGATTTTTAAATACAACTTTAATATTAAAAGTCTTAAGAAGAGAAGGCATATCAACCAAGTTTTCATGGTAAGGGAGAACCAACATATTTTTAGTTGAATAAGGCTGGTTGTCCCTTTTTGGATTGTAAAAAGTATTTCTAGCAACTTTAAAAGATTTATCAATTACGTTTCTTGGGTATTTCAGATCATTTGCTATTTCATAAATTTTGGATATTTCTTCATCTATGAACTCTGGACTACAAATACGTAAAGTTCTCAAAAACATTGATGAGAAAACAGACAGTTTAACTCTATCTTGATATGAAGAATAATATTGGACATAGGAACAGTTATTTGTAGGTTTTCTGTAAATTTTAAATTTGAATTCATTATTACCCTTAATAATTAAAACATCTAGAAAAGGCAATGAGTTATTTTCTTCAAACTCAACAGTAAAGTTTATAGAATGCGCTAAGCTATTTAATTTAACAAGGAAATGGTGTATATCTACATTCTTGGGCATAAGACACAAAATCTGAACCATTTAGCTCTATTAGGGAGGATTGTGTTAAGCAACCTTATTTCAAAAAAATCCATGTATAGGTTACTAAGAACAGGTGAAAGAGGATTTCCCATTGCCATACCAAACTTCTGAGTGTAAAACTTATCATTAAATACAAATTTTGCATCAACAATGCAAAGTTTAATAAGTTTAATGATAGCAGGAACTGGTAATGGTAAATCGTAGTTAACGAGTTTATACTAAATCATCAACTGGAACTTTCGTAAACAAGAAAGTAACATAAAATAATTTAAAATAATTTAAATCAGTCAAGGAGCGTAATTTATCAACTAAATCTATGTTGTTTTTAACATTAAAGTTAGAAATTTTGCCAACAATAGGGCTCAAAATGTCAACAAGCCATTTGGATAATTTATAAGAAACCGATCCTATGGAGGTAATAATTGGTCTGACTGGATTCCCTGGTTTGTGTGTTTTTATTAGTCCATACATGTAAGGTAAAGATGGATTAGTGGAAGTAAATTGTTTGACTAATTCATCTTTGCCTTTCAGTAGAAGTTTTATTGTTTTATTGAAATTGCTGTTAACGGTTTCTAGGGGATTTTTCCTAAGTTTAGAATAGGTTTCAGTATCATCTAAGAGATTATTCATTTTTTCTTGGTAATCATTTTCTTTCATAATTACTATTGCATTTATTTTATCTGCTTTGGTAAGGAGCAAATTTTTATTATTATTAAGTGTATCATAAGACATAGAGAATCTTTGTGTGCACTTGGGAATGTTTGGTTTTAACATAGAGTTATATATCATTCCCTTACTAATATTAATTTGATTTATCCACTGATGAAATTAATATTAGTAAAGGAATGGTATATAACTCTATGTTAAAACCAAACATTCCCAATTGCCATTAAAGATTCTTTAAGTCTTATGATACACTTAATAATAATAAAAATTTGTGCCTTACTAAAGCAGACAAAATAAATGTTCAACTTACTCTCAGTAATGACCCAAGATTGTTCTCTCTACAGTCACAAAATTCTTCTCTTTGCAGAACCAATGTTGTTCTCTTCACACACTAAGGTTTCTCTTTCAATGTACACTTAACTGCTCTTCTGCAGATCTGAGTTCTTCTGTCCTTGGCATATGGTCTTTCCACAATAAAACTTCCTACAATATAATTGATTTATCCACGATCCTTAATTATTAGTATTATCTCTTTTTAAAATCCAAACATTCCATTGCCATGAGACATCGAACATTATAAAGGTCCTTACATCAACTAATGTTACTTACTCTCAGTTGACCAATGATCGTCACTCACATTCGTTCTCTTATACAGTTCTCTGTAAACACTAGTATTTCTCAATGAACTAATGCGGTCTCTCTCATCATGCTGTCCTTGCATCGGTCTCTCACACACTGCGTAAAATATCGTCAACCACCTCCTCAATTCTCTTATTAGTCTCTTCTAAAATCCTCGTTTCTCCACAGACCGAAGATGCGGTCCTCCATCAACTGCTGTCTGATGGGTCTCACCACCTTCGACATGATCGTCACCACCATCTCGGTTCTCTTATTAGTCTCTTGTAACACTGTCATTTCTCCACAGACCGAACATGAGGTCCTCCATCAACTGCTGTTTGATGGGTCTCACCATCCTTCGACATGATCGTCACCACCACCTCGATCCTCATGTTTGGACTCACTGAGATCGGCGAGTACACCAAGACCATAACTTGGTACACAGAAGGCGTCTTCCAGCGCGTCACCCCGTTTGTTTTCCCCCTCGCTCTTATAGCCCAGACTGGGTCAGTCTACCTCACAGTTACCGTGACGGTAGAGCGGTACGTCGTTGTCTGCTGGCCGCTACGAGCTCGCTCTCTATGCACCTATGGGCGTGCGAAAATCTACGTTATAAGCGTGGCTTTCTTCTCCATTATATACAACATTCCCAGGTTTTGGGAAGTTTCTTATCAGGTAAGACACTTAAGCCCGAGTTCAGTCACCCAAACGGGTTTACTGTATTTTGTGATTATAAGATAAAAACTACTAATCATAACAAGAGCACTAATAAGTAAATAAATTATTTAATAAATTTTCAATAAACTAGTAATTGTTATTGCAGTTGTTATTAATTATATGTCTCACTTTGTCTACAGGAATGCTACATGAACGGTGAAAAGTCCTCCTTCGTAGTAGCGTCAGAGTTACGACTAAATCAATATTACATTGAGATCTACATAATGTGGATGTACCTTATTGTGATGTATCTGGTGCCCTTTCTCAGTCTTATAGTCTTCAATTTCTTCATCTATCAAAAGGTGCGTGTATGTGTGTACTTACCTAATTGTGGTTCATGGGTAGAGTCATAGCTCCTGGCCCTGCCTCTTCACTGGTGGCTACTATGTCACTCTTCCTACTCCATGAGTTTTATCATACCTCTTCTTAAAGCTATACACGGATCCTGCCTCCGCTACATCACTTCCCAAACTATTCCACTTCCTGACAACTCTGTGACTGAAGAAATACTTCCTAACATCTCTGTAATTCATCTGATCTTCAACTTCCAACTGTGACCCCTTGTTGTTGTGTTTCATCTCTGGCACATCCTGTCTCTGTCCACCTTGTCGATTCCTTATAGTATTTTATATGTTATCATATCCCCCCTATCTTTCCTGTCTTCCAGTGTCTTTAGGTCTATTTCCCTTAACCTCACCTGGTAGGACACACCCCTTAACTCTGGGACTAGTCTTGTTGCATGCTGCTGCACTTTCAGTAGTTTCCTTACATGCTTGGCTAGGTGAGGGTTCCAAACTGGTGCTGAATACTCCAATATACGCCTAACATACACAGTGTAATGGGTCTTGAACGACTCCTTAATAAGATGTCGGAATGCTGTTCTGAGGTTTGCTAGGCGCCCATATGCTGCAGCAGTTATTTGGTTGATGTGCGCTTCAGGAGATGTGCCTGGTGTTATACTCACCCCAAGATCCTTTTCCTTGAGTAAGGTTTGTAGTCTCTGGCCCCCTAGACTGTACTCCGTCTGCGGTCTTCTTTGCCCTTCCCCAATCTTCACAACTTTGCACTTAGTGGGAATGAACTCCAGGAGCCAATTGCTGGAACAGGCCTGCAGCCTGTCCAGATCGCATTTGTAGTTCTGCCTGGTCCTCATCCGACTGAATTAATCTCATCTGCTTCACATCATCTGCAAACAGGGACACTTCTGAGTCTATTCTTTCCGTTATGTCGTTCACAAATGCCAGAAACAGCACTGGTCCTAGGACTGACCCCTGAGAAACCCCTCTCATCAAAGGCGCCCACTCTGACACCTCGCCACATTTCATAACTCGCTGTTATCTTCCAGACAGGTATTCCATGATCCATTGTAATGCCTTCCCTGTTATCCGTGCCTGGTCCTCCAGCAATCTACTGAGCCCTCTCTCTCTCTTGTCTTACTACTATCACCCTGTCATAGATCTCCAGTAGGCTTGTGACACAGGATTTTCCATCCCTGAACCCGTGCTGGCTATCATTGATAATCTCATTCCTTTCTAAGTGCTCCACCACTCTTATCCTGATAATCTTCACCATGATTTTGCATACTATTCATGTCAGTGACACTGGTATGTAGTTTAATGCTTTATGTCTGTCTCCTTTTTTAAAAATTGGGACTACATTTGCTGTCTGGCATGCCTCAGTTAGTCACCTTGCTGCGACGGATGTGTTGAAGATTGTTGTTAGTTGTACACAGAGCAACTCTGCTCCCTCTCTCAGGACCCATGGAGAGATGTTATCCGGCCCCATCGCCCTTGAGGTGTCTAGCTCGCTTAGCAGCCTCTTCACTTCTTCCTCTGTTGCATGTATTATGTCCAACATTTGGTAGTGTGCCCCACCTCTCCGTCTTTCTGGAATCCCTTCTGTCTCCTCTGAGAACACTTCTTCGAATCTCATGTTTAGCTCCTCACATACTTCACGATCATTTCTTGTGATCTCTCCTCCTTCCTTCCTTAGCCTGATTACCTGGTCCATGACTGTTGTTTCCCTCCTGATTTGGCTTTAGCCGCTTTGTCATTTTTGCATTGTCGTTGGGCGTCCCTTCTTACCCGGGCTTATTCATTTCTGGCTCTACGACTGCTCTCTTTATTCTCCTGGGTCCTTTGACTTATATACGTCTTCCAGTCTTTAGCACAGTTAATTTTTGCCTCTCTACACCTTTGGGTGAACCATGGGCTCATCCTAGCTTCCTGGCTATTTCTCTTACCCTTGGGTACAAACCTCTCCTCAGATTCCTTGCATATTGTTGTGTTATAGTCTATCATCTCGTTTACTGACTTCCGTGCTAGTTCTCTGTCCCACTGTACCCCATGAAGGAAATTCTTCATTCTTGCATAGTCCCCTTTCTAGTACTTTGGCTTCATTCGTCCTGCCCTTCCTGCTTCGCTCCCCACTTGTAACTCTTCTATGCATTCCAAGCTCATAACTACGTGATTACTGGTCCTAAGGGGTCTTTCATGTGTAATGTTCTCAATATCTGCACTAGGTCCAGTTTCGCTGGTTCATCCTCTTCTTTCTCTATGGTAGTGTCTCTTACGTGTTGGTAAATGAGGTTTTCCAGTTCCACCTCCATCATTTTAGCTCTCAACGTTTCTGGGCCCCCAAGTGGCTCCAGGTTCTCCCAGTCGATTTCCTTGTGATTGAAGTCACCCACAATCAGCAGCTTTGCCCTGCTCACACGAGCCCTTCTGGCCACTTCAGCCTGTGCATCACCCATCGCTCTGTTACTCTCATCATACTCTTGCCTTGGCCTCCTGCTGTTCTGTGGTGAGTTATACATCACCTTGGGACCTTCAGACTGAAGTGTTCGCTTGATGTATCTCTTGCTTCGCCTCCGTCTCCTCTCTCCAGCTCCTCAAAATCCCATTGGTTTTTGGTGAACAGTGCCACTCCTCCACCCCCTGTGTTCCCTCTGTCTTTCCTCAGGATCTGATATCTCATTGGAAAGATGGCATCTGTTATCATTCCTGTGAGCTTGGTTTCTGTGAGAGCTATGATTTCTGGTGATGCCTCTTTGACTCTTTTGTGTCACTGCTCCCACTTTTTCGTTATTCTTTCAGCATTGGTGTACCACACCTTCAGTTTCCTCTCCAACAATGTGTTATGGGAGGGGAGGGGGTCTGTGAGGGTAGGGGACCTGGCAGTGTACTGTGGGATTCTACAGCGTAGTGTGGGGTGGGGGCTGTAGGTGCTGATTGTGGTTTGTGTTGGGATAACGTGTTTGGCTGTTTGGTTGATGGGGTTAAACATCAGTAACTATTTGTCGCACTTGGCTTGCAAACTCTCCTGTAGCTTGATTGCTAGCCCACTCAGCTCACACAGTGAGGTCCAGGGATCAATCCCTGGTACAGGTGGAAACATTAAAACGTGTTTCCTTAAGACACCTGCTGTCCATTTCACCTATCAGTGAAACAGGTACCCGGATGTTAGTCGACTATATTGTCGCATCCTGGGGATAAAATTGACCTAATATGCCCAAAATGTTCAGCATAACAAATGACTTTCTTGTAGTAGTATGTCACTGATGTCAGCTAAGACTGTATACCTTGTACGTGTACTTGTATACCTTGTACATGTACTTGTAGAAATATTGATTGTTAGTATTATGGTTATTATTATTATTATTATCATTATTATTATTATTATTATTATTATTATTATTATTATTATTATTATTATTATTATAAACTTAACTGATCCTTGTTAGTTTATGTTCTCCTCGTTAGTTTCAGATCGTCTGTAAACAGGGACACTTCTGAGTCTATCCCTTCCGTCATACCATTCACACATATATAAGAAAGAGCACCGGACTTAGGACTGACACTTGTGGAACTCTACTCGACACATGCACTCCCATTGGCACCTCATCACGTACCAACAAACGTTATTTCCTTCTTTTCAAGTATTTCCTGATTCATTGCAGTGCTTTCCCTGCTATTCTTGCCTGTTCCTCTAGCTTTACAACCAGTCTCTTGTGTGGTATTTATCACAGCTCGAGAAAATGCAGTCTACCTCTCTCTTTCCTTACCTTCGTTATCTTGTCACAGAACTTCAATAGGATTGTGATACAGCATTTTCCTTCTCTGGTTGTCATGGATGAAACTGCTCCTGATAATCTCCATAATTTTACATGCTATACATGTCAGCGATATTGGTCTGTAGTTTAATGCTGTCTATTTTTGTTTGTTGTCTTCCACACCTGAGGCAGTTGCCTTCTTTCGATAGATTTGTTGAAGATTGTTAGTGGCACAGAGAGTCCATCTGCGCCCTCTCTCAGGATCCATGGAGAGATATTATCTGGGTCCACCTCATTTGAGATACCAAATTTATTTAGTAGTTTTTTCACCTCGTCCTCCGTTGTGTGGCGTGTGTCCAGCACTTGCTGGTGTACTCTACCACGTCGGTTTGCTGGAAGCCTCTGTCTCCAATGTGAGTACCTCCCTGAATCTTGAGCTGAGTTTCTCACATACATCCTGGTCGCTCCCAGTGACCTCCCTTCTTGCCTTCCTCAACATGATCACCTGGCCCTTGACTGTTGTTATCCTTCTAGTGTGCGTATATAACAACACTTGGTTAGATTTGGCTTTTGATGCCATGTCGTTCTCATGCTGCCACTGAGCCTCTCTTCTCATAAATGCAAATTCGTTTCTGGCTCTTTGTCTCATCTCCTTGTTTTCCTGAGTTCTTTGCTTTCTAAATTTTGTTCATACTCTAGCATACCTGGCCTTGGCCTCTCCATACCACTGGGTAGAACATGGGCTCACTCTGGTCTTACCATTGTTTCTGTTGCTGCTTGATATACATGTGTGTGTGTGTGTGTGCTCACCTGTTTGTGGTTGCAGGGGTCGAGACATAGCTCCTGGCCTCGCCTCTTCACTGACCTCTACTAGGTCCTTTCTTCTCTTGCTCCATGAGCTTTATCATACCTTGTCTTAAAACTATGCATGGTTTCTGCCTCCCCTACATCACCTGGCAGACTATTCCATTTCCTGACAACTCTATGAATAAAGAAATACTTCCTAACATCTCTTTAACTCATCTGAGTCCTCAACTTCCAACTGTGACCCCTTATTTCTGTGTCCCATCTCTGGAACATCCTGTCTCTGTCCATCTTGTCAATTCCTCGCAGTATTTTGTATGTCATTATCAAGTCTTCCCTAACCCTCCAGTCCTCCAGTGTCGTCAGGCAGATTTCCCATAACCTTTCTTCGTAGGACATTCCCCATAGCTCTGAAACTAGCCTTGTTGCAAACCTTTGCACTTTTTCTAATTTCCTGATGTGTTTGACCAGGTGTGGGTTCTAAACTGGTGCTGCATACTCCAGTATGGGCCTGACATACACGGTGTACAGTCTTATACGATTCCTTACTGAGGTATCAGAACACTATTCTCAGGTTTGTTAGGCGCCCATATGCTGCAACAGTTATCTGGTTGATGTACGCCTCAGGAGATGTGCTCAGTGTTATACTCACCCCCATATTCTTTTCCTTGAGTGAGGTTTGCAGTCTTTGGCCACTTAGCCTATACTCTGTCTGTGGTCTACTTTTCCCTTCCCGATCTTCATGGCTTTGAATTTGGCGTGGTTAAATTCGAGGAGCCAGTTGCCGGACCAAGCTTCCAGCTTGTCCAGGTCTCGTTGTAGTCCTGCCTGATCCTCATCCGATTTTATTCTCCTCATTAACTTCAAATCATTTGCAAACAAGGACACTTCTGAGTCTATTCTTTCCGTCATGTCATTCACATATACCAAAAACAGCACTGGTTCTAGGAATGACCCCTGTGGAACCCCGCTCCTCGCAGGCGCCCACTCTGATACCTCATCACGTACCATGACTCGTTGTTGCCTCCCTGTCAGGTATTCTTTGATTGACTGCAGTGCCCTTCATGTTATACGTGCCTGATCCTCTAGCTTTTGCACTAATCTCTTGTAAGGAATTGTATTGAAGGCCTTCTTGCAATCACCTCCCGCTCTCTCTCGTATCTTCTGTTACCTTGTCATAAAACTCCAGTAGGTATGTGACACAGGATTTGCCTTCCCTGAATCCGTGCTGGTTGTCGTTCATGAGCTTGTTGCTTTCCAAATGTTCCATCACTTTCCTGATAATCTTCTCCATGACTTTGCATACTATACACGTCAGTGGCACTGGTCTGTAGTTTAGTGCCCTGTGTCTGTCTCCTTTCTTAAAAATAGGACTACATTTTCGTCTTCCATACCTCAAGTACTTGCCCAATTTCAATGGATGTGTTGAAAATTGTTGTTAGTGGCACACACAGCGTCTCTGCTCTCTCTCTAAGGACCCATGGAGAGATGTCCGGTCCCACCGCTTTAGAGATATCAAGGTCATTTAGCAGCTTCTTCACCTCCTCCTTGGTTGTGTGTATTTCATCCAATACTTTTTGGCATATCACTTGTTGGTGTACCCCTCTGTTCTGTCTTCCCAGAGGTCTTCCTGTTTCCACTGTAAATACTTCCTTAAATCTCATGTTGAGCTCCTCACATACTTCTTGGTCGTTTCTTTTGAGCTCTCTACTTTCCTTCCTCAGCCTGATTACCTGGTCCTTGATTGTTGTCTTCCTCCTGATGTGGCTATAGAACAGCTTTGGATCAGACTTGATTTCTGATGCTATGTCGTTTTTTCGTACTGTTGCTGGGCCTCCCTCTTCAACTTAAATCTCTATTTTCCTGCATCCTTTGTCTTCTGTACTTTTTCCATTCTCTAATGCACTTAGTTTTTACATCCCTACACCTATGGGTAAACAAAGGGCTCGTTCTCATCTTCTCATTATTTCTGTTGCCCTTTGGAACAAACCTTTCCTCTGCCTCCTTGCATTTTGTCGTTACATATTCCATCATTTCGATTACTGACTTTCCTACCAATTCTCTTTCCCACTGAGCCTCCTGAAGGAAGTTCCTCATACCTGTGTAGTCTCCCTTTTTATAGTTTGGCTTTTTCCATCCTACTCCAGTTACTCTTTCCACTTGTAACTCTACTGTGTATTCAAAGCTGATCATTAGCTCCAATGGGGCTTTCATATGTGGTGATGTCAATGTTCGAGCTACTCAGGGTGAACACGATGTCCAGTATTGCGGGTTCATCCTCCATTCTCTCTCCAGTAGTGTCCCTAACATTTTGATGAGTGAGGTTTTCCAGTACCACATCCATCATCTTGGCTCTTCATGTTTCGGGACCCCCATGGGGCTCCTGGTTTTCCCAGTCAATCTCCTTGTGATTGAAATCGCCCATAACTTGTATCTTTGTTCTACCTGTGTGAGCTCTTTTGGCCACCTCAGCTAATGTGTCGACCATTGCTCTGTTGCTCTCTTCTTATTCTTTTGTTGGCCTGCTGCAGTTCTGTGGGGGTTATTCATCACTGCAATGACTACCTAATGTCGCCCAGACTGAATTATACCTACTTTGTAGTCCCTTTCGCCATTTTCGTCCATTCCTTCCATTTCCTCAAATCCCCGTCGGGTTTTAATGAACAGTGCAACTCCTCCTTCCCCCTCTGATCCCTCTAACTTTCCTCAGGATCTGATATCCGGATGGGAAGACTACGTCTGTTATCCCGGTGAGCTTTGTTTCTGTGAGTGCTATTATGTCTGGGGATGTCTCCTTGATTCTTTCATGCAACTCCTCACATTTATTTGTTATTCCATCTGCATTCGTGTGTGTGTCTGTGTACTCACCAATTTGTGGCCGTAGGGATCGAGACTCAGCTCCTGGCCCCGCCTCTTCACTGTGTGTGTGTGTGTGTGTGCATCCATGCATATATGTATATATGATTTATTTACTTATTTGTTTTCATGTGTTCACCTGATTCACATCTTTAGAAATGCTACATTTAAAATATTAATTAATGTTTAGGTTATGTAACAATTGTTGTCAATTGAATTCAAAATAAAAATTTATGGGCGACCTTAATTCATGGTAAGATTTTTGGGTGAACTGAATAGATAATAGGACCTTGTGAGGCACTAAAAAGTGATACACGAAGATGTTTTTCCGTAATCTGACAGGTTCGTGCAGCCAACCTGGAGAGGCAGCACATGAGTCGACTTCAGCAGAAAGAGATCAGCTTGGCGGTGATGCTGTTGGTGGTCGTGACGGTGTTCTTCGTCTGCAATGTTCTCGCCTTTATAATCAACATCTTGGAGCTGCTGAACATTACCATCGGCTTACTGACCATGGCTAGTAACCTCCTAGTCACTATCAACTCCTCTGTCAACTTCATAATCTACTGCATCTTCAGTAAGAGGTTCCGAAAGCTTTTCTTGAAGATGCTATGCTCGGGTGTTTTGTCCAGGGTCATGAGAAGGAATGTGGCCAGGGGCTCGACAGCCTTCAGAAACAACAGCGCCTATGGGGACTCCCGAAAGCTATCCAGTAGCAGAACGACTCAAATTTTCCGACTTTCATCGAGACACGGATCACAATCATCGGATAGTGTCTGACACTTCATAACATCTACGACCACCAAGGGCATTCTAAAAGAACATTATAATGAACCCCAACGGTATTCTGTAGTTCCTTCTGGTAATACTTCCTCTCCAATGATCTCCCTCTCGTCCTTCGCTACAGCAACTAGTCCATCTTTACAACACTATCAGAGTCCTATAAACAATGTCCTTCTCCTGTGAATAAAGGATCGATTATTCAAGAAAGAATATCAGATCCTTGAGAGGTCAGCAATGTGTCTCTCACTTTCCGTATCATGGAAGCATTTCTGAAATGAACCATTTTCATCATTAAATTTGTGTCTTTCAAGATTCCCATCCACTTTCAATTTCTACAACAGGAACCTCGATCATCTTATAAGTTGACACCATTATATGGTGCTCCATAAAGCGTCTCTACGATTAGTGTATTAACTGGACGATGGTCTAGTGTTTGTTCACGTCTATTTCTCAACCAATTGAAGCTACCATATATCATGACCATACCTATACATTCTCAGTCAATATTTTAGAAAAAAAAAAAGATATATATTCGCAATATAACTTTACAATGAACAGTTCTTACTTCTAAATTTATTTTTCAATATTTTTTCAAATATAATTAAAAAAAGCCTTTCAACACGTATTAAATTGCCTCATTTATTGTAGACTTTCTAACAAGTGGTGAGAACATGACAACTAGTTCATGGGGAAGCGCTAAATCCGTAGTAGTTAACTCATAAGTCAGGAACTTATATGAAATTATTTCTCCAGTTCACCTACAGAAAGTTATTTCTCCAGCTCGCCTACAGTTATTTGTATATTATTATTATTATTATTATTATTATTATTATTATTATTATTATTATTACTATTATTGTGAGATGCAACATACAATTACTGCGGAAATCAATATGTTTAGATTCCTTAGGATCTGTGTTGGTTAATTTCTTAGCTTTAAGATCCCAAGAATCAAATATTGGCTTAGTGTTACCTAGTGTGCTCTTTTAAATAGGTAAAATTATATGTAAGATATATGTAACAGGCTTCATGTATTTTTGTGTAGTATAAGAACATGGTTATGTAAAGTATTTCTTGATATGATCATTTTCTGATGTCTTGTGCTCACTTATGACATCCTAAACCCATTTTCTGATGTCTTGTGCTCACTTATGACATCCTAAACCCATTTTCTGATGTCTTGTGCTCACTTATGACATCCTAAACCCATTTTCTGATGTCTTGTGCTCACTTATGACACCCTAAACCCATTTTCTGATGTCTTGTGCTCACTTATGACATCCTAAACCCATTTTCTGATGTCTTGTGCTCACTTATGACATCGTAAACCCATTTTCTGATGTCTTGTGCTCACTTATGGCATCCTAAACCCATTTTCTGATGTCTTGTGCTCACTTATGACATCCTAAACCCATTTTCTGATATCTTGTGCTCACTTATGACATCCTAAACCCATTTTCTGATGTCTTGTCCTCACTTATGACATCCTAAATCAATTTTTGCCATCTCGATCAAATTTTCTACCATTTTTAGCTCATTTCTCTAGAGTACGAGATTGTCTGATGTGTTTTTTTTAAGCTGACAGACCAATATTAAAAAGGAATGTGACCAAAACAAATTAAAGAATAATATATTACTGTCTTGTTGTGACACCAATGAACATATGTTGAAGTCTAACTATGCCACATGACGAGATATATTTTGTAAAGTCATTCCAAGTCAACGTTTGAGGGCTCTATCCAGTGGCGGCTCGTGCGGGGGTGCTGTGGAACTGCAGCACCCCCTATTTTCCCTCGACATTATCGATAACATTCAATATAATGATTTTTTATTATTTAATTCTTTCCTTATTCTTGTACATTATAAAATCAAAGAATTAAAGAAAATAAGGGATGCTGCAGATCTGCAGCACCCCTGCACGAGCCGCCACAGACTCTGTCACATCTACAAGCACTGTAAGTACTTGTCTCAGTGCACATCTGAGAGATGAAAAATAACCCACAGCAGACTTCTCAACAAGCTACTACCCATTATTTTAAATAAGATTGTTCTTAAAACTCTTTAGTTTAAACCTATAAGAACATTTTGTCTACGATGTTGAAATCAAAGATTTCAGAGATGGAAGGTTAAGATCTTTTTAATTATATATATAACTCATAGCAGGGGAGGGAAGAGATTACTTTACCCAGGATCTTGAGTGACCTTGATACAGCTTTGTGACAGATTAATGACCTTGAACAGGATACAATTGTGTCACGTTACATAACAATTGTGTCACGTTACATAACAACTGTGTCACGTTACATAACAACTGTGTCACGTTACATAACTGTGTCACGTTACATAACAACTGTGTCACGTTACATAACTGTGTCACGTTACATAACAACTGTGTCACGTTACATAACTGTGTCACGTTACATAACTGTGTCACGTTACATAACAACTGTGTCACGTTACATAACAACTGTGTCACGTTACATAACAACTGTGTCATGTTACATAACAACTGTGTCACGTTACATAACAACTGTGTCACGTTACATAACAACTGTGTCACGTTACATAACAACTGTGTCACGTTACATAACAACTGTGTCACGTTACATAACAACTGTGTCACGTTACATAACAACTGTGTCACGTTACATAACAACTGTGTCACGTTACACAACAACTGTGTCACGTTACATAACAACTGTGTCACGTTACATAACAACTGTGTCACGTTACATAACAACTGTGTCACGTTACATAACAACTGTGTCACGTTACATAACAACTGTGTCACCTTACATAACTGTGTCACGTTACATAACAACTGTGTCACCTTACATAACAACTGTGTCACGTTACATAACTGTGTCACGTTACATAACAACTGTGTCACGTTACATAACTGTGTCACGTTACATAACAACTGTGTCACGTTACATAACTGTGTCACGTTACATAACTGTGTCACGTTACATAACAACTGTGTCACGTTACATAACTGTGTCACGTTACATAACAACTGTGTCACGTTACATAACTGTGTCACGTTACATAACTGTGTCACGTTACATAACAACTGTGTCACGTTACATAACAACTGTGTCACGTTACATAACTGTGTCACGTTACATAACAACTGTGTCACGTTACATAACTGTGTCACGTTACATAACAACTGTGTCACGTTACATAACTGTGTCACGTTACATAACAACTGTGTCACGTTACATAACTGTGTCACGTTACATAACAACTGTGTCACGTTACATAACTGTGTCACGTTACATAACAACTGTGTCACGTTACATAACTGTGTCACGTTACATAACAACTGTGTCACGTTACATAACTGTGTCACCTTACATAACAACTGTGTCACGTTACATAACTGTGTCACGTTACATAACAACTGTGTCACGTTTACATAACTGTGTCACGTTACATAACAACTGTGTCACGTTACATAACTGTGTCACGTTACATAACAACTGTGTCACGTTACATAACTGTGTCACGTTACATAACTGTGTCACGTTACATAACAACTGTGTCACGTTACATAACAACTGTGTCACGTTACATAACTGTGTCACGTTACATAACAACTGTGTCACGTTACATAACTGTGTCACGTTACATAACAACTGTGTCACGTTACATAACTGTGTCACGTTACATAACAACTGTGTCACGTTACATAACTGTGTCACGTTACATAACAACTGTGTCACGTTACATAACTGTGTCACGTTACATAACAACTGTGTCACGTTACATAACTGTGTCACGTTACATAACTGTGTCACGTTACATAACAACTGTGTCACGTTACATAACAACTGTGTCACGTTACATAACAACTGTGTCACGTTACATAACAACTGTGTCACGTTACATAACAACTGTGTCACGTTACATAACTGTGTGACGTTACATAACAACTGTGTGACGTTACATAACAACTGTGTCACGTTACATAACAACTGTGTGACATAACACAAACATAAATCACTATGTTATTATACAATATATAATCATTAACACGTCACTCAGAATTAAAAAAAATAATAGCATGTGAAAATAATTTAAATTATGGGAACTAATCAACGAAGATGATGGTGTTTACATTCTTTTATCAGGTTCTTGTAATACAAGAGAAACTACATCAGTAATTAGGTGCATCTCTCGGTCCCTGAATGATCCAAGAAAGATATTCTACTGTTGCATAAAGTAGGTCTCCTGTACCTTAATGTACAGCAAACTCTGCACTGAGGTACACTGGGGAAGCAGAATGTGTCATAAGTTGAAGATGCAGTTAAGTGGTTAAGTATTATTGTTGAAGATTTGAAGGAAATCAGAAGAGGTATTCACAAGTGTTATCTAGTGGCCTGCACACCTGGCTGTAGCATGATAACCTCGTAAAAACAACAACAGGATATATATATATATATATATATATATATAATTATATATATATATATATATATATATATATATATATATATATATATATATATATATATGTATATATATAATATGTACAATAAGACAAATGTTAGCAAGAGACACGGTGAGAACCGTAGTGACCAAGGGCGATTCACGAGTGTCTTACATAGCTTCACAACTATGGCAGGCTTCCTTGTCATTAGCTGACCAAGGTACCAGTATAACGACGGGGCCCCTACTCGTTATACTCTTAGCACCTGGTCGCTGGTCAGGATGGCATGCCTATATGGGTGTGACATACGCCGAATAAAATGTACTCTTAACATGCCACACATCCCACCTCTAAAAGAGCTCCGGTAGCCAGGACTAGGCATCCTTCCATGGGTAGTGTGTCATCATGGCGCAAATTACTAATGGAACTGCCTATCCTATCGACCACTCAACTCATTAGGTAGTGTTCAACAGAAAGGAACTTCCAAGTAAGACAGAACCTTAGATTAAGACAGCAGACACTAGAGTTCAAGACACTTGCAAATGGCGGCAAGTTTCCTCTCGCTAAAAAAATTCCTTATTGCAGGAT